TATGTGAGATAATAAGAATGAAGCTTTTGATCAATTTACGTATAGCGAATTATGAAGAAAGTAACAAAAGTCCATGGAAAAGATTTCGAAGGGAACGTAATATAATATAATGAAATGATATCGAATTATATTTATGTATAAACATAAAGATAATTTGATAAGCAATAGAGAGTTCATTCGCTAAGTATTTATAAAAGCATTAAAGCTCTTTGCATTGTCAAAAGCAATTATGTCGATAGGACGTTGAGTCAAAAAAAAAAAAAAAAAACGTCTCTATACCAGGATAACGATAGAAGGATGAATCTGTTCATTTTGATTAAGGTGAGGGTATAAACAATAATAAATAAAAATTTTTAAAATATTTAAATATTTATAATGAAACTAAAAGTAGAAAGTAATGGTTATTTAAGTTATTTTTAAATTGGCATACAATGGCATACGTTAGGGGCATTCACGTCCGTGAACAAAGAGCGTTGCAGTATCAAAACTTCTTCATCTGAATGATTCTAGCTTAAACGATTTATATGTAAGTAACATAAACATTTTCAAAAATTTTTATTTATTGCAAAAATTAATATTTCTTTATAATTATTGCATTCAAATAAAACAAAACAAACAAAAAAATTATTTATCATACTGAGGTATTTATGTCCTTTTAGAATCAGATTTTTTTTCTTTTTTTAGTAATTAAAAAAATTGTCTGAATTTGCCTGCGCATTGGGGAAGAAACAAACAAAGAGAAAGAAGAAGAAGAAGACGATTTTAATGAAAAATTTATTTAAAATTTTGTTATGAAACTTTTGCAATTTTATTAATGGCAAGAAATGTTTCAATTTTTCATTTTTTTTTATTTTTTTATATTTTCAATTATAATTTTCTTTCTCTATATTCTCTTTACTATATGTAATTGAACTGAGTTATCGTTTAAAGGAATGTATTTAGAATTCGCTTATATTAATTAGATTTATTTACATAAAAGAAAGTAATTGATATTAAAAAGAAAATCTAAGCTTTCGTTAAAGAATATTCTGCATATCTAAGCTTAAGTTCAACTAAATAAAGATAACTGTGCAGGAGATTAAAGAACTATGTTAAAAAAAAAATATATTTCAATTTGTTATCGAGAAGAATGCGCAACAGTTCAGTTCATTTAGGGCAATAATCCACAAGTGATTGTTTCACCTATTGGCTCTTTAGTATCAATCGTAACTATAGTCAGCATTAAGTTAAGTGAGGCCGGAAGGACATAATGAGAATATAAATAAAAGTATCTCTCTCTCTCTCTTTCACACATGAAAGCATACACACACACACATACACTCTTCCTCTACCAGAAAGATGTCACATTTTCATTCTTTTATATCAATCGAGAGTACACACAGCCTTAAGTTAACTGGGATGAAAGAAATTTAACTTTCTCTCTCTCTCTCTCTCTCAGGAAAGTGTTATATTTCGACTCTTTTATATCAATCGACAAATAAATTCATCTTTAAATTAATGGAGAGGCCTGAAGGACTTAATAAGAATGTAAATGAAGCTTTCTTTCTCTCTCTCACACATACATTTACTCTTTTTCTCCTTTTTTATTAGAAAAATGTGACATTTTCGCTCTTTTATATCAATCGAAAGTATACTCAGCCTTAAGTAAGTTAAATGACACGAGAAAAATTTAACTTTCTTTCTCTCTCGCTCTCTCTCTCTCTCTCTCTCTCCCAGGAAGATGTTACATTTCCTTTAAGGCAAGTTAATTGAGTCCCAGACGATTTAATGAGAACGTAGATAAAATTTCCTGTCTCTCTCTCTCTGTCACAAAAACGCACACATGCACATAGACACTTTCTCTCTCTCTCTCTTTTTCTCTCTTAGACAGGTGTTACATTTTTGCTCTTTTATGCCAATCGAAAGTACAGTTATCATTAAGTTAACTGATATGAGAAAAATGTAACTTTCCCTCTGCTAAATTTTCTTTTAATTTCTTTTGAGGTTATGTCATATAATATTTGTTGCACATTTTTTTGATTTTTAATGCCCTCAAAGTCTAGCATTTAATCAATTGATAAATTGTTTTAGCTAAGCAGGATGAAAGTGTTTTTGGTTTCTGAAACTCTCCAGCCTCACCTACTCCTTACAATCATTTCAATAAGCGAAAGCTTCATATATTGTTCTCGAGCCTATAAATGATAGGAATGCAAAGGATGAAAAGATTATTGAAACTGTACTCGAGAGAAGGAACAATTCAGGGAAGGATAGGTACGGATATGCCTTCAATTAGCTAGTGAACCATTTACAATAAAACCAGAAGAAATTCATATTTTCGACTGAAGGGCGTAACATTCGAAATTGACGGCGAAAGAATCGAAAGACAAATCCGACAAGATTAAAAAGATTGAAATAATTCTAATTCGCATTAGCGTATCCTCATAATTTCTTAGGTATTATACTTCTTTTTCTTTTTTTTTGCTTTAATTCTACCGTTGAGTTTGATCTTCGAAAACCAATTTCCTAAATTCATGATAACTTTTTAAATATTCAATATTTCAAAAATGAAAATTTAAATTTTGTGCCCTTTTAGCTTAGAAATATAGAAAAATATTTTATATATTTTTATGTATGTATGTTTAGGACGATCGGCAAATTATCTTTTAATTTACTCTTTCCTAAAAGTCATAAATATTTTTTACTTATAAAATAAATATTTTTTCGTGGAAATCTATTCTAAATGCTAAGGACAAACTAGGAAAGGGGGAGAAGGTAAGTTATCCATAAAAAACTGAATTACAAAATATGTATTTATAGAACAAATAAGCACGTTGCAGGAGTCATGGGGCAGATATGGGGTAGTTATTAAGTAACAGTTAATAAGCCTATAGGTTTTTTTATTAATAAAGACTTTAGATGTGACAAATCTTCAGATGGTCGGTCGATGAAAGACATCAGCCGGAACTAAAATTATTCAAAATAAAGGTTTCTCGTAGTGATGATCAAGACATCGTGCTCATCAAGTAACAAAGTTTATCGCTATTGAGCGCAGAGATGAGATAAAGATGACTTGAGAACAATAAGTTGTTCGGGAGTCTACATATGCGTTTATTATGAAGCCAGACTTGTTGGTGATGAATGTTAGTTTTATTGCTAATTACAGTCGACTGATTTGATCATTTCAGATATCATATTTTTATATGGAGCTAAAAAAATAAGCGTTTGCAACAACGCTCGAAAAGTTTTTTGTTGGAGTGCGCAAGCTTGATTGACAAAATATTGATTCGATTTCAGATTTAACAACTATATTTAGCTTTATATCTCGAATTTTTTGTTATCCTAAAAAAAAGGAAACAACTCATTTCCATACTTTATATATTGAGCGGGCGTGACCGTTTTTTTCCTCATTTTTTCGAATAAAAATAGTAATTTATATTGACCATCTGTTGTAGTCTAAGGGTGGCGGCCAAAAAAAAAAAGAGACAAAATCTGGGAAGCAAAACTGTTCTCGGTGTTTCTTGCCTAGAACTGTGACCGTCGTAGGTCACATGACAAGGTTTGACCGATTTAGGTAACTTTCTAATTATTTTGCGAATTAATAGGCGATGTTTTCGTTTTCGCGAACGAGGGAATGTTTACCACACGTCAGACGGACAGATGGACGAACGGACGTATTTAGTTGCATTCCAAATTTGAAAGCGGCCAAGAATTTATATACTTTATGGAGTTTTTAAGCTTATTTCTGCGCGGTATTAAAATCTTTGACGCATACAGGCGAACAGATGGACAGACGGACATGCTTAAATTGGATGACAATTTGATATGTTGATTAAATATATATACATACATTCTTTATGGGGTATCTGAAATTTTCGTTATAGATGTTGCAAAGAATTTGACAAAATGAATATACCTTTCATGCTTTAGTGATGGGTAAAAAATTAATTTCAATTCTTTCAATATATTTGGCTGCAATTTTTCGCCTTAACTTGCGTTCAATTTGAACTTTAGCGGCAACAGATGGTAAATGGTTTAAAATGTTGCTATCTTGTAAGTGTTGTTTCCCCAAATTTTTGGATTTGATTGAACGCGTACCATGTTAATTGTCATCTTCATTAATTCGTTATTGAGAATTTTGTTAGTTTGCGGTGACATATTGTTCCGCTTTAAATGATTTTCGATAAATTTACTACACATTCAGTTTAAAAGGGTCACTATTTTAAGACCACAATATGTTAAGATGGAAAAAAAATATTTTCAATTAGAAGCTAAGTGTTGAGTGGATTGATTAGTTGCTTATATTGCTATCTTAAGCCGATGGAAATGATGAAGACGAATTTTGAAGAAGCAGACTAACATTATTGGCAAGACATAATGAATGTTTCAGAAACTACATCTCTAAATCCTATTGACGAAACTGATGTGTTACGGCCCCAATCACCTCGACGACCCCCGCTCACTAATCCCCTTTAATAATGAAAATTAGATTTTTTTTTTTTTTGGAATTTTCATCTGCTTTGGCAACTGCAGACTTTGAAGGAACAATTTGAGTTTTAAAAAGTCACAAAAAACCCTTACATTGAACTACAAAGAAATCGGAAAAATAATTCTTTGTAATATTTTCTCTAAAATTATAAGCTAAAGAAATAAGGCATAACTTTGAGAGATTGATCTAATAATTTAAAAAAAAAAATAAATAAATAAAAAAAAATATATCGAGAAATAACGAAAAACTCACTAGCAGTAACAAAGTTAGTGCTGTTTAAGCAAGGATAACATTGTTTCTTCGGTCCTAGTATTTCTTTGAGCATTCATCTACCTGCTTTGAATTTTTAAGGATTTATGAAAAAAAAAAAAAAAAAACAATTGTCTATAATATTGATTAAAAGAAAAATTATTAAAAAGCCTTGAACAAAAAATGAAAAACGGGCTTATTTCACGTTCAGACAAGTTTCTTAAAATATTCTTGAAAATTTTGAAAATAATTCTTTTTTTCTGTTTTATTATTATTATTATTATTGTTTTTTTTTTTTGGCTTACATGCACCTGCCTTTGAATTCTCTTCAGGTTTTTTTTTTCAGTTTTATTTTATTTACTGTATTTATATTGTCCATTTTCCTATTATTCTGCATCCTCATCGTAGTCATCATCATCCTCTTCACTTTCTTGCAAAATTGGAACGGCCGTTATGGTTAAATCACGGCTACCGAAATCAAAGCCCAACTCACGCATAGTAGTGGCCGGCATTAACGATGAAGAACTTAAATTTGATGTACCCGTTCCCAATGAGATTGCCGGTATTAGTATATCGTTGGCAAAATCATTATCATGATCGTATCGCCCACCGTCGCGTTCATCGCTTTCGTCTTCGTTTCGTATAACAAATAAGCATTCCTCGTCGTCCCGGTATTGCTCGTATAGTTCGCAGTGTTTACGTTTCGCATGACGCAGTACGTGATCTTTACGTCGCGAACGATATTCGCACGAGACGCATTTATATTTTTTCTCTTTTAAACAATATTTGCGTACATGTTCTTGCAACTTTTGCACCGATTTGTAAAAACGTTTACAATGCTTGCATTGCATATAAGCGTCACGTTCTAATGCGTTGCTGTGACGTTGCTGTTGCTGCTGCTGGTGCTGCTGCTGATGATGATGTAGCTGCTGCTGTTGGTGCTGCTGCTGCTGCTGCTGCTGCTGGTGGTGTGCTTGTTGATGTTGCTGCCCAGTTGCAGTACGTTGTATAATGGTGTTGTTGTTATTTAAATAACCAAAAGAGTTATAGAGATCATTGTTGGCGATTGAATTTAAATTATCGTGACCGTTGTTGGTGTCAACACCAAGTAGACTGCCCAAAATGGGATAAATATCTAATGGTTGGTTGAAGGAGGTATTCGTTGGTGATAATTTTTGGAATAATATTGGATTTGTGGAAGTAATGTGATAGTAGTAATAGTAGTAGTGGTCATGGTGGTGGTGTTGTTGTTGTTGGATTTGATGCGATGAATCATTTTTTGGTTTGTTTTTTTTTTTTTTTTTTGGTTAAATTAATGGCAAACAAAGTTAACGTGGTTTTTTTTTTTGTCAAGGAGAGAAGGAAAAGAAAAAAGAAAAAAAAAATAATAAAAAATATAAAATTTTAAATTAATTAAAACAAATTAAAAAGAGAAATTAAAATGAAAAAAATATTAATAATTAATTATTTCATATTAACTCTATTAAAATACCCACATTTTATTAATTATTTAACCTTTATTGTCTAAGATTTATTTTGAATTAATTTCTATTTACGATGGGTTCTTTTTTCTCATTTCCCATTTACACAAGTGCTTTATTATTATTATTTTTTTTTTTTTTTTTTTGATGATGATGATTGATCGATTGATTGATTGTGATTGTTTTGTGCTCTTGTTCTTGTTGTTGTTGTTTATCTTAATTGTTGCGATAAAAGAGATAAAATAAATGATGATGATGGTGATGATGATGATGATGATGATGATAATGATGATAAAATGAATGCAAAGCTTTTAAGTGGTTATTATTTTATATACACACAAACTTTATGAATATTCTATAGAAGATAGTGGTTGGTGATTATGGTGCGGTGAAGATGGTGTTGGTGATGTTGCTTTTGCCAATGCTGTGTGTAGGCCATATACAACGCTAACAAAATTGTTGATATTCTCAGCAAAAAAATAAATAAATAAATAAAATAAAACAATAGACAAAAAACAAAACTAAAAAGATAAAATTATTTATAATTGCTTATAAATATAAAGACTAAGTAGTGATGGTCTATTACGACTTTTATTATCTTTGCTTTTTTTTTTCTTAATTTTTTCATTCATGTTTATAAAAAATTATTTTGAAATTCTATTGGAATTATACTTCAAGTTATGATGATTTTTGTTTTTTTTTTTTGCCGCAAGACTTCTCGAAATCTCCCTCGAATCCATTTTCTCGCTCCGTTGGTATATTTACCTAAAAGAAAAGAAACCCATGTTAGTGAAAGTTTAATTTATTTCTAAAAATATAAATTTTTACTTCACCTTAACCTAAAAATCAAAAAAAAAAAAAAAATTCAATAAAATAAATTATTATTATTATAATTAATTTAGCTGGAGAAATACATTTTGAAGATTAAAATCTTAACGCATTAGCATCTAGAGCATTTAAGATTTGAACCCACGGGTAAATTAAAAAGTTAGTTACCGATTCAATTTTTTTGACCTAAAAAAAAATTATAATAATAATGATAATAAAAATTAATTGCATTAACTTATAATGCGTTCAGTGAATTAATTATTATTTGCATTAATTTTCAGCTTGTAAACTGCAAAATTGTTTTTTTCCCTCCTACTTGAAGTCGCCATTTTCAAGATAAACGCTTGCGACCTATTCTTATCATCACCGTGGCCGCGCCCATATAGGGGACATCCCCTGAGTGGCAAGATATCATCAAAGGAATTGATTTCAAACATATGCTTGAAAGATTTTTTGTTTTTTTGATTTTTATTGTGTGCTTCTTCTTGTCTCGTATGAACGAAGATATGTTCGCCCCGAAGGCACACAAAACCACTACAGAAAAAGTTTCTTTATGCCACGAATCTCTTCTATGTAGAGTAATTTTTTAGTGATAAGGAAATGGTAATATGGCTCATATTTATATCGACTTGGCTCTATATAGAAGTGTATTAATTCGGTCCAGCTATGGTTTGCAAGGTACAAGACTTTAGACCAAGTTTATTTGCAAAATTGATCTGAAACTAGAAAATTATTAATCAAATTGAGTTTTTGTTTTTTTACAATTTTAACGACTGCACGGACTTACAGTTACGGCTAAATCACTTTAAGCGCTTTCCATTGATCAGATTGACGGTTACGTCTAAAAGGATTTGAGGGTTCTCAACTGATCAAGAATGTTACAAGGGGAAAGACTAATCTAATAAGTAACAATAAATAATGTAAAAATATATAAATAAAATATAAAACGTATAATAATAATAATAATGTTAAGCAATAATAATAATAATAATAAAACAATAATAACTAAATAAAATAATACGACAGGAACAGGAAAAACAAAAATAAATTACGTGTATTCACACATTATAAACTAGGATTAACAGCTTCGGTAAACAATTTCATTACGGGATGAGAACATTAGTACTATGGATGAGGTCTTGTCCATTTTGTTTCGCCGCAAGTAGAACCTCAATTCGCCTACGATTCTACAAAAAGGGAAAACTAATTGTTTAAATTTTTGCAAGGAAACCACAGAAGACGATTAAAAGAATCTAAAAAAAATGAAATAAAATAAATAAAATGAATAAATAAATAAAAAAAATTACAAGTATTTGTGCACAATTAAGTGCAATTAAATTGATAAATTTTTAAGAATACTAACCTGCAAAGACATAATAAAAAAAATAAAAAAAATACGCATAATTTTTTTTACGCTTTTTTTTTTTTAAATACGTATTTTTTTTTGTTTTTTTTTTTAAGGAAAGCTTGGCTAACTTTACAGTATTCTTTGGAAAATAGCTGTTTTTGCTTTTTTCTTTTAAAAAATAAAAACCATACAAACTTTTTAGTTTTATTTTTATTATTATTATTTTTTTAAGTATATTTTAATTTTTTGTTGTATTTTCATCATGTTTTTCATTCATCGTCTTATCTAACAATAAAATAAGAATAATTTTTTTAGATTTTCGTTTCGTTTTTTTTAGTTTTTTTTTTTTTTTTTTTTTTTTTTTAAAAAAAAAAATAATAATAATTACATAAAATATTTAGTTGTTTTTTTTTTTATTTAAGATTATTTATGAATATAATTTACACAAATTTCATTTACTGCAAAGTTATTATTTATAATTTTTTTTTTTTTCGTTTTAATATATATAAAATATATTTTCTTTGTGTTATATAAATTTTTTAAGGCGTTTTCTTGTGTTTCTTTTCATTTTAAATATATATATATATATCTATTAAATTTAGTTATTTTATTTTATAAGGATAAAATATATCAAGTTTTAACTAAGTAAATTAAAATTTAAAAAAAAAGAAGAAAATTGAAAATGATTGTTAATAATTATTTGCGCTTTAAATATATTGAATATATGGATAAGAGAAAATAGTTTTTGTTTAACAATTTGTGTTTTTATTTATTAAAAGAAAGCTAAAAAAAAAAATTATTACAAATTATACTATTTTTAATTTTAGAATTTTTGTTTCTTTTATAGCTTTTAAGCTGTTTAACAAATCAAGCAAATGTGAGGGGGATCCTTTTCTATTGCATCCAGTTGGGATTTGGGTGAGAATTTATCAAAATTATCTAAAACGTGCTTAAACTATTTTTGCATTCTTTTTATTTTTTTATATTAATGTATACACGTTTTAAATTGTTTTTGTTTCTTGAAAATTATTTATTTAAGGCCCGTTTTAAACTGTGATATTTCTTTAACTTTTTTTTTTAACTTTAACTTTTTTCTGTTTTTCAACAACAATCACATAATTAATACGCATCACAAAATGTTTCATATATTTCTTCCATCGATTTAAAGTTTTAGTTTTTCTATTTTTTTTTTTTTCGTTTTTTTTTTTTAATTCATTCACAGCTCGTTTGTTTTTCTGCTTTTATTATTATTATTCTATTATTTATTTTTTTCTTTATTCAACAGAACAGAAGAAATTATTTAAACTTATTTTTATGTGTGTGTGTGTGTGTATGTGCAGAATTTTTTTTATTTATTTTAATCATTATATTAGCCCTTCCAAAGCATATATTATAGAAAATGAAAAGAAAATTAATTCATAGAAATAAAAAAATCCCTGCGCATACATTATTCTTAGTTTAGATTTTTATTATAATTTTTAGAATTTGTTATATTTGACTTTTAAAGCAAAAAAAAGGAAGGAAAATTAACTTGTTTTTTTTTTTTAATTAATTTTAAGAAAAATTACCCTAATATTTTAAATAGCGTTAAGCAAAAGGCTGAGTGTCGATCGCAAACTAAGGAGACTGATGAAACAATGACAATTCTAGCCAACTTTTCTGTCTCTTTTATTCAAACATAAATTTGATTTAAAAAATGGTGGGAATACTTCTTTTAATAATTTTGCTGGATTGCCGGACATAGACTCTCTCTCTCTGTCAATGTAAAGAAAACTTTCAAACAGAACTCTAATTAAAAAGTTAACAGAAATTCTTCCTTTAACAATTCTGCTGAATTGACGGACACTCTTATAGACAATTAAGATTTAACTGACAATTCTGCGAACTTATTTCACAGAAAGTGTATACATATATTTATTTATTTTTTTTTTTTTTTGCAAACAAGTTAGTTCCTTTTTAAACTTTATTAAAAAAAAAAAAATAATAATAATGAAGCCAAGAAAAAAAGTAAACCTATATATATAAAAAAAAAATAGTTAAACTATATATATATATATAACCACAACCTTAAGTGAGAAAAAAAATTATATATAAAACATTATTATAATTATATAGATTAGACAGATATGCATACAGACACATAAGTATAAAGCATTTATTCATGAATTATAATTTTCAAAAAAAAAAAAAACTATGCAAGAAATTAAAATTAAATAAAAATTGAAAAAAAATATATATATATGTTTAAAAAATTATGCAATTTTTTTTAGAATGACTAGTGGGAAATTGCACAGAAAAAAAAAATAAAAACATAAATGTCAATTATTAATTTTTTAAAATTTTTTTTTCCAAAAAAAAAAAATTAACTTA